ATTGCCTTGGACCCACGACTCGTGCTAGCTACCAAGACACCTTCGGTAGTAGCCATGGGGATGAAGTAGTTTTGTCCATCAATGTTGATAGGACCAGCGACACCAATAGGAAGGGGCAAGTAACCAATAACGTTTTCACAGCAAGCACCGTGGACAAGGCCATAGTTGTAATCCTTGTATGGGAGCTTGGAATCTTCCAAAACAGAAGTGATAGCAGCGGTAGCAGGAGTCCGGGAGACCACGGATCTGCGGATCTTCACAGCACGAGTAAAGGCATCAACACGGCTCATCAGGTTCTCGTCTTCCATGGTCTTCTCCAGCGCGTAACCCGGAAGCTTTCCGCGGAGAGAAAGATCGATCAATTCCTCATCAGTAAGCATGGGTGCACGCTTTTCCTTGAGCAGAGCCTCGCATTCTTCCGGAGTTCTGGTTGACTGTTGCTCATTTGGCTCAAACTTGGGGTAGACCTTCGGGGCAACCACAGGCTCCACGGGAAGAGCGGGGGCAGTTTCGGGGTCCTTAATACTCCAACGGGCAGCATTGAAAAGATAACCGTTAAGAATGATGCTAAGAGTCAAGGCGGCGATGATCCACTTGCTGATGATAGGGTCTTCAACGCTCTTGAGCAGACTTTCAAGAACTTTGCCACCCACGGCATCCAAGAACTGATCGGTGTACTCGATTTCAAACGAACCAGAAGCGGTAGAGGCTGCGTAGTGAACGGAGGGGTACTCCAACTTGTACTTGATCGGCGAAAGGATGGTAACAATCGTCTCCTGCTTCTGGCTCTTGGCAGCCACATACACACTATCCAGGCCATTCTCTGCCACCTTGAAAGGATCAATGGGGGTAGGAGACAGGACGTTGGAGAAACGGGAGAGCAAGCCACCGTTGCCGGTGTTCCGGAAAGGAATAGCTGACATGTTCACAACATTGATCAGGATTAGACCACCAACCATGAGAATCTTGAACCGGCGCACATTGCTAGACTTGATCTTGCGACCAAAGATGCTGGTGTCTGCCTCGCCAGATCCAGCGCTAGGCCAGTCGTTGCTAGAAGCGACATTCTCGGCAACACTATGGGTAATGCCATCTTCCTCTAGGGCCTTGCGTAGCGCCACGTGACGCTTGATCCGAGTGATCTCGAGCTTGATACAGAGAATAGTGGTATAGAAGGTGAAGAGAAGGACGCAGTCAAAGAACAAGATCAAGGCCGCGAGGAAGCAGAACTGCTGGAGTCCACCTTGAACGCCAGAGGCCGCACCCAAAGCCAACAGACCAATCTCAATGCAGTAGTGCTGAACAATCTCGAAACCTTGGTCCTTGATCGCAGCGCCAATAGAGTCCTGAATGGATCTCGGCGTGCTCGATGCCAACGGGCGAGGGGCAGCACCGGGACGGGGTCGGCGGTTATCCACAGAAGCTTTCAGAACGGCCCGAGTGAACATAATCGGTTTCTCGAATCCAATGGTGACAACCAAGAATGGGAGACCTTCGGACAGCAGGAGGAGGTTGATAGGCACACCAAGTCTAGTAGTCACGTGTAGACCAAAAAGGAATGCAAAGGTGCCAGAAAGGAGCACAGTAGCCGCAAGCCAAAAGTTCGAGCCCAATCGTCGCATCGAGAAGAAAAGTGAGACGAAGCTCAAGTGCATCGAGAGGTAGCCGAGAGCCATGATAACAATGTCAATGGTTTCTGCGTGCTTGATCAGATCCACAAAGGAATTCCATGCATCCGCAACCCAAAGCTTTACAGCTCTGCGGGATCCGTAGGCCGGGCCACGAGCAGCTCGCATGATCCATTTCTTGGATTCCTCCTCATCATCATCCGTGGACGGGGTGGGGATCTCCTGCACAGCCCTCAAAAGTTCCGAGACTTGATCGAAAGGCACGGTGTAAACCAAAGAAGCGTCATGGGTAAATTGCGAGAAGAGGTTGGGGGTGTACGGCACTGAGTTGGCGGAAATGTTGGCAGGGATCGGGACATCATCAGCTGCGGGGGCAGTTGAATCAGAGTTGGTGGAATCGGGGAAGATGAGGGTTGCCAGAGCCAGGTGCTGGGCAACAGGCTGGTCGGTCTAATATTTCATTGAGTCAGTATTTCTTTCTCGGCGCCTCAAGAAGAAAGGAGGGGGGGGGAAATGGGCTCACCTGGGAGTCAGTCCAGGCGCCTTCCGCCTGCCACTTCCACGAAGTTGACTCTCCGAGGCGCAGATTGCGGCTTCCTTGGAGCAGGGCATCGGCATCAACCTGTCCCGCGACACTTCGCGGGTCTTTAGATGTATCAAGCAGGCTACCTTCGAGGAGACCCACGTAGGTGGTACTAGCAAGAATTGCAATCACCACGAGTGTGTGAATAGGGTGCACACAGGCCCGGCGAGAGATGGACTGAAGGCCGGACACAATCTGACGCCGGATCCAACTAGGTTGAGTTTCGCGCTCTTCCTCGGTTGAGCGAAGGCGTTTAGAGATAAACGAGGTAGCCATGGTGACGGGACGCGAAGGAAGCGGTGAGGACGTCTGTTGAAGGCGTTGAGGGGGTTTTTAAGACGGTCCGCAAGGACCAGAACCTGCGAGGAAAGCCGTCGTAGGATGATGTTTTACACCAAAACCAATGCGGAGGAGGGGAATCTTGAATTAGGATCCAATTCTATGACCACATGTGGGCTGCACAAGTGTTTAGGAAAGCAGTTTTCCGGGCTATTGTTTTTTTTTCCCTGGGTTAGTTGGAAGTCACAAATATTACATAAGATAGCACATACCAAGGGAAGAAGTCGAGAAGCTCAAGGCACAGCCCTTGGAATTGAAGGTAAAAGGGAAAAAGGTAAAGGCCCCCTGAAGTAAAATAATAGTTGCCCGAGACCGCTGGAATTAAGTAACGCCGACGCCAAGCCGCCAGTGGGGATTTGCTTCGGGTTTTCTTGCGAGGTACGGAGTAATTTATTTGTATTTTATAACAAAGAAAATATTAATAGACGGGTTAAGAATAAGCAGAACAATAATAAGTCCGAGTTAAGCTGACAGGCATATATTTTTTTTTTTCAGGGTTACCTAGAATAAATTAGGAACGATCCAGGCTGCAATATTTTATACAGAACCTGCATATAATGGCTTGGACATAGTAAACGTAGCAATGAGGAACATTCGAGTATTTGAATGTTTATAAAAGTGTCAAATGAAGTCTACTCCGTACAGTATGCAGTACAGACCCTTCAGAGAAAATTTTGCAGTGGCAACCAAATACCCCATACCCTTGTACTCCGTACAACTAGAATCTGGAAATGCACAGGCATTCTTTATCTCTACCCATGTCAATCCTTTGTACATACTTTAGTCATGAGACACATATCTTGAACTGCATCTTGCATATGTTTTGAATCTTGAATGACGTCTCTTGAATGATCTTTCCCTGGTATTTATTGATATTTATCCCGAGCTGGAAGTATTTACGTGATACAAAAAAGAACGATCAACAAAGGCTCCACCCGGTTGGTCTGTTAACCCTTACAAAGTACGCAGATGAGGGTTTCCACGTCAGCCACACTGCCAAAAAGGAAAGTCGAAAGAGACACTCCGTAGTCGGCATCTAATCTGCGTCAGAAAAGAGTCCACTCAATTTCCCTGCCAGTGTGGAATCCACCGGGTGGAGCTCCGGAGAAATCTGATAAAAATCTGATAACTCAGAGTCAAATCATCATCTCGGATTGACCCGATACAGACTCCATGTATCCATAATAAACTCGGTAACCGAGCTTGCCAAGCGAAAAAGGAAAAAGATAAGATCGTTTACTCGGTGAATCCCGAGTATTCCGGCAAATCTGCTGGGAGTGTGCAGAACTTCTCATCTCCTTACCTAAATCCCTTGGCTTTCTTCCCGTCCCGTCTTTAGTGCTTATCTCTTGCAGCTTTTTTGATCAGTAAAACTAGACACCGCTAGCTAACGACTCCCGGGAGCACCTCCCTGGCTGCAATTGCCTACCTACCTAGGTATGGATGTAGGTGGGCACTCACTAAGCATTATATAAGCCTGCAGTCCCGCCGGGCGCCCGTCTGGGGGGCCACACTTAGGCAGCCTTGCAGGCCCCCAAGTGGCTGCTTACTGCGTATGTATCTTTCACAGCACTCGTTACTGCTATAGATACGGAGTGCATTGCCTTGAATTCTGTATACGGCCGCATCTAGCTGTATCTTCCTATCTCGTCTCATAGCTTCCATCTTGCCCCCTCGTCAATGAATCAAGGGCGACATGACCCGATATGTCGAATATGTCGACAGCGGGGATGATATTACCAATGTTATGCGTGCGAAGCATTCAAGATTGTCTGTTCCCATTCCATTGTCCCAGTGATTGGGGTATTTTGATCAACCTGTTCTTAATAGTGTGAGTAGACCACAATATCAGGCTCCGCCTGCGGCAGACACCATACGCTCATGAATTTTAACGAAGATAGCACCGGTTATGAATGGTCTGCGGTTCATCCCGGTGATTCTTTAAGCTGGCGATGTAAGCATATGAGAGAACCTTATCTTTCGAAAGACGTATCGAGGTGCAGCAACACCAAGAGTGAGTCCATTGGCAGCTTCAGAGGGCATGTAGCGGCCTCAAAATCTGAACAGCAAAAGTTACCTGAATGCACAATTTGGCACTTAATCTAATCTCAGGTTCATACATAACAGCTGGGCTGGTGTGGGCTTTGACAATCGTACCGGAGTACATAGATCGGGGTGCCATCGCTGCTCAGGATCCTGTTGACCTCGTGAGTATCACAGATTACTTAGTGATCCATGCCTGCCCAGACCCGACTCAGGATTTGCTTAGTAATATCAAAATAATGCTCGGGTTATGCTCAGATGGCCCTGGAGCCGTGGAGCATAAATAGGTCGGAACGCTTTGCCCTTCAAATTGACGTGAACATACCGAAATCGCCTTTTTTTTTCAATTTAATTCGAGCTCCATTCCTTGTATTCGTCAATCGCTACCACGAACATAATATATCAGGATGGCTCAGGTCCAAGGCCACTGCGACACCCGGTTTTCCAAGCTACGCGACTTGATGCAAGAGTTTATCGCGTCTGGGCAAGACATCGGTGCCAGTTTGTGCATTAATATTAACGGCGAGGATAATGTGGTAGACATATGGGGGGGCTACGCGGACCCATTGACCAGAAAACCATGGGAAAAGGATACGGTAGTGAACGTCTTCTCGACCACCAAGATAGTCACCAACTTGGCGGCTCTAATGCTAATTTCGCGTGGTGTGCTTCGCTCCGAGGACAAGGTGGCCCAGCACTGGCCTGAGTTTGCAGCAAACGGGAAGTCCGAGGTCACTGTCGGCCAAGTGCTAGCCCACACAGCGGGTCTTAGCACATGGCAAGACAATATGACACTGGAGGACCTATGCGACGTCGAGGCAGCAACCGACAAGCTGGCACGCCAGGCACCGCTATGGACTCCCGGAACCGCAATGGGGTACCACGCTGCCACGCAGGGATTCCTTGTCGGGGAGCTGGTGCAAAGGAAAACGGGAATGTCAATCGAGAAGTTTGTAACGGAGGAGATTTGCCGACCGCTGGGTAATGGGGCGGACTTCCAGCTCGGGCTTCGCAAGGAGGACTGGAACCGGGTGGCCCCCATCATACCTCCGCCGGGGCCTTCGATCCAAGAGGTGCTTACCCAACTGCCGGGATACGATAAAGACTCGCTCCTCGTGCGCACCATTTGTAACCCCGTTTTCGATGCCGAGGATGCAAACTCTGTGCTCTGGCGGTCCAGCGCGTTGGGCTCAGTCAACGGCCACACAAACGCCAGGGCGTTGGTCAAGATCCTCTCTTGCTTCTCGCTCGGCGGTACATGTGCCCAAGGAGGCCATCGCCTGCTGTCGGCCGAGACGGTGAGACTGGCGCTTACGGAGCATGCGATTGGGAAGGATATGGTAATGGGGCGGAGCGGGAGGCGTGGACTTGGGATTTACCTCACCGGGCCGGGGTCGGGGGTCGTCGAAGGCAAGTTGCCGGAGGGCAGTGTCGGATGGGGTAGCGGATGGGGCGGTTCAATTGTGGTTATGGATAGCGATAGGAAGCTCACAATCGCGTATACCATGAACAGGATGGTAAGCGACAACCATCCTTCCCCAGCAGCATACATTAAGGCAGTCTATGAGATACTTGGAGTTACCCTAGCTGTCTAGGATCTGGGATGTGAATACCAACCGGATACTATTGGAAATTGGTTTGCCGTAACCTGCGTAGAATAATTTTATATGAGATGATTAGGAGGATTCTGGCAGAACTAGTCGTTTCTACGAGAGCCAACTATCTCCATTCAGGGCTTATCCACAGGTCCTAATGACTTGACTGGATTACCACGATCAATAGGGATAAAAAGAAGTAATCTGACCGCAGATGAACTACATCATCACCTCAAGTGAACTATTAGTATATCGGTATGTAACAACCAATGAAGAGTAAAGTCGGTTTCATCTGACTAGATAGGTGTATTAGGGTTGTGAATGCAACCACGCTCAGTAGGCCACTTACCTAGTGGACAAGGGACTTTAGCTGTGTGACTAGCCACTTAACGGGGAGTTGATAAATTTCTGAGGCTCCTTTCCTGATGGTGAGTGTTTGTCCGTGGGGCTTTTCAGAACGTAAGACCTCTAGACGGAATCACGAAAATGTAATTCGGTATCAGGATGACCCTGAAAGTTAACATATGTCTTCGATCTAAATCATCAACAGATTATCACCATATCAATTCCTCGTTTCGGGGACCCTCTCATTCATTACTTCGACAAATTGATCCATACACCTCATCAAGGAAGATTTGCATGGTATTTCGGAGTCTGAATCCACAGGTCTGGTCTCTCATCTTAAAGGTGGGAATAATGCAGTAACAAGCCAATAGGACAGATTGCTTAGCACTGTAATATCTCCCATGAGCTAAAATAAGTCCCACAAATACCAAGCGATTCACTTAGCTGCGTTTTAGCGGTTCCTCGCATAGGATGCGTAGTCCTGGCGGCGCTAGACCACTGCTGCATGAAGCTCATCGAGTACGGAGTAGATACAATTAAGATGACTCGCCGAAAACAGTGCTAGAGAAGTCGCTCTACGTATATCGGAATCCGGTGGCAATCTTGATCGTCTGATCAATTCAATAGTACCTTGTACCGAAGATGTTAGGTCTAATTAGTTTTCATGACAAATTTTTAACTTGTCCAAAATCAGAGGTGTCATTTATGTCTGTCCGAAGTTCGGTTAGGGTCTCTGCAGTAGATGATCAGGTGGGAAGATGCAAACAGAACAATCTTCAGGAAATTAAAGCGCTAAAGATGTCTTCTTTGTTTTACTTCCCTTCAGAGATTCAAGGGGGTTTCTTTTGTTAATTTCGACTCTGACAGCGAAGCGCCCAGGGGCCCCCAGATCAGCCAATAAGCGTGCTTACTGAACCAACGGACCTGCAGATTCGCAACATAGTTGCAAGCTTGGAAGATCCTACACCTAAAATCATGTAAATGCCACGACTACGCGCCAGGAGCGGGACCAAGCATGTCTCAAAATATTCCGTGGCTCTAAATATCTCCCGAGAACCGAGCCCTCCCATCCAATCATTCCCTGTTTTGTGCAGAAGCCGGCAAGAGCGTTGGGCTTGTATCTCGGTCTATTAACAGTTTTGATTGTAAGACGGTTTGGTATCATGTTTGGAGCCTCTCCAATTAGACGCGAAGACTCGAGGTCAGACAATGGTTTCTTTATGTATGACAGATTCCCTTGAAACCTTTTCATACTATTCCTATCCTTATTTTCGTGGTGGCCTGGTGGTGTTTGGGCTAACAATCGACCCATTGTCTATTCACACCTATTGTCACAGATCAATCATCCCAATGATCCTATTCATCTCGACAGAGCCCATTGTTGCTGCCTTCGACCTGGCCGCCTCATCGATATCCTAGACTCAATAAATACGGCACTTCCCGCTTGAGCAACCTAACCTCTGTTCCATATCTCTACGCTCAAAGAAAAGCAATACTGCAATACCTACTCGAGTTGACGCCGCCGGCCGCCGTCCCCTTCAAGTCCACAAAATCTCATTTTTACAGCCTTTGGCTTCGAATTTTACATATCCAAATCCACTATGACGATGTTGAGCATCGTATTGATAGCTCTCTTTGCTCTGTACAGCCCAACACACGCTCATTCTTGGGTGGAAGAGCTCACACTCATTGCCCCAAATGGAACCTTCGTCGGCACTCCAGGATATGCGCGAGGAAACTACTTGCGCACGACATCAGGCTTTAGCGACACTGCCATGACCTACTTGATTCCGCCCATCACAAGGGCAAATGTGACTCAGATTCTGCCAACCGACAAAATGTGCAAGGACACCCAGCAGGATCAGAGTCAGTCAGAGGGAAGCCCTCGGCTTCAAGCCAGCGCCGGAGCGGCGATTGCCCTCCGCTTCCAGGAGAACGGCCATGTGACACTTCCTCAGACCCAGCCCGGAAAGCCCGCGAACCGGGGAACTGTTTATGTATATGGCACCACACAACCCAAGACAGGCGAGAAATTCCTTGATGTTCATGGAGCCTGGACCCAAGATGGCACTGGAGGCGATGGGCGCGGGGTGCTCCTGTCAGTGCAGAACTACGACGATGGGCGTTGCTACCAGGTCAATTCGGGGGAAATCTCAGGGACTCGACAAGCGAAGTATACCCACACAGCAGACCCGCGGATGGGAGCAGACCTCTGGTGCCAACAGGATATTCAATTGCCTTCCGATGCTCCCAGTGGGAAGCCGTACACACTCTATTGGGTGTGGGACTGGCCTACCGCTGCAGGTGTTGATCCTATATATCCCAATGGAAAGGCCGAGATCTACACAACTTGTATGGATGTGGATGTTGTGAACATGGTCAGCAAGCAGGCAATCAAGAGCGACTATGAGAGTGACCAAGATCTCAATAACGCTGCAATCCCTTCGCAGTTCGATGCACTCGGCCGTCCGATATCCTCTCAGCCGACTACTTTTGCCACATTGTTAGCTACGACAGGGGTTCCGATATCCTCCCAGCCAGCCACTTTTGTCACATCGTTAGCTGCGACAGGAGTTGAACCCAAAACAGTCACAGTGACAGACTGGGTGATCAGCACAAGCACTGTATTCATGGCGGGGAGTCAACCCACTTAAAATGGGGTTGAAAGACCAAAACATCCGAGATAGGACAATGCGACTGAAAATCTAAATGAAATGACAATCTCTTTGCTCTACATATGTATTGTAAATTGAGTATCCCGTTGTAAACCAAATTAATGTATCAGACGCCATTAAATAAGTGTCAAATATGAAGACATACAAACATATCCCATATATAACCCATGGACCTTTAGTCCCAAACAGGAATAGACGAAACCAGACTTGAAACACGCTAAGGTCGGGTGGCACGTGACCCTCGACGGGTTCAAGCTTCACCCATTCACACACGGCCAACTCTGTGACTCTTGAGCGGCTGCCTTGCATATCGGCTGATTCTGCTGCTTCCTGCTACAGTTCATCTTGATAAATCACATCATCCAACAACTGCGCCCCCGATCCCAAAACCACCTACGCGCTGATCAATACTCCAGTTCAACCTACAACCTAGACAGGTATGGCAATCTCCGTTCACTCAAGTCTATTTCTCCTCAAATTTCCCATTTCCTATGTGGCCTTGATCTAATCCTTGTCACCGTGCGGTCTACACATTCGTTCCCGCATAAGCGCTGTGCCTCCGTTACACTTGTATCTGACATTGGCCCTTTCTGCAGTTTTCAGCTATATTTAGCAATTCCCTGCTCTCGAGATCGCGGAACAAACGGCTAGAACAACAGCCTCGATTTCGCTAATCTCACCTTGAACGGTTATTCTACCACGCAACCCTTGCAAAACCGGAGGCTTTTTCTCGATTGTTGATATCGTCTTCTCGTCGTGAGATCTTCCCCGTCGCGGTTCGGCGTTCCACTCGGGCCACATTTGCCCCCCCTCCCTCGTGTTGTTTGCCGATTACCCACCCATTCACCGTCCACCAAACCGGAGCCCCTTGGGATAAATATCCTTTTTTTCTTTTTGCTCGAAAAGCTTGACATCCAAGGGATGCCCCTAGTTTGAATCATACGAACCCAAAATCGTTATTGGCCCCCTTACGACTTAGCGCTTGCTGCATCGTACCTGAACTCGATATCTCCTCGAACCCCAATCACAATATATACCTCCCTTGTTCGAACCGAAGGAACACCCGTGTCTGCGACTGCAAATTTCAATAACCTGGACTGCGTCAATCGCAATGCGAAACTAGAGCGCCAACCACGCGACCGATGAACAACCCCACATTTCCCTTGCTGAGATCCGCCCCGTTATTCCTCATTCCGAACCCAATTCTGGGTCTTTCTCCATGTCAACCATGATGTCCTCTCCTACATCGTCGCAGAATATTCTGTCCACAAACAATCTCTCGGTGCTACCACCCATCCTCACTGATGGGACGGTGAAACGGTCATCGACGCATCCGAAGGATCGGCTCTCCACGTATTCTAATGTCTCGCTTGCATCCCAAAATCGTTCGCGCCCAGGCTCCCATGTCTTCCCCATTTTCCATACCAGCCTTCCATATGCTCTTGTGCGAGACTTCGCCTACCCCTCCATCCACCCTCTCCATTACGGGCCTCCCCCTCCTCGCGCCTCCGGAGTCTCCACACCGGCAAGTGAACATCGACGTCTCTCCGATCCGCCACCCTCGTGGGATATATCGCGGGGTTGGTCAACAGGCCAATCGAACACAGAACCGCAGATTAGCCATGTCCACCAACAGTTGCCAGCCATGTCCTTTGGTGATGGACCACCATACAGCGAGGATGAAGACCTGCATAGCCCAGTTGTGACCTCGCGTCATCGCAAGAAGTCTTCTGACATGAATGGTCTTGTAGACGAGAGAGTCATGTCCGGAACTGGTCATGCGGGGAACAATGATCGCGGAATGCTCGTTGGCATTAACGCCGATGGCAGTGAGACTTATTATGTAAATTATGGAGACACCTCAAATGATGGACCAGGTGGTGAGTACGTGACATATCCGGCAAATGAAGGACGATATTCAATCATGGGATACAATGCCCCGGGCGGTCAGCAGGGCCATGAACACGACCTTGGCTTCGA